TTTTGTGGTCAAAACATCATAGTCGCCTTTGCATGTGCTGACATATGCTCGCACATGCGTCGAAATACGCGCCATCGATACATCAATCCAAACATTTCTGTGAAAGTCATACGATATATCAGCTCTGCAGTATATTTGTCAGTCAGGCATTTGAATATACATAATTTATATATCGACATGCATTATCAGAAACCTGTTTGTCGACAAAACTGATATAGGCATGTATAATTTCAGTTTGGCGAGAATGCGTGTTTTTGATGTGTCTTCAGAAATGTTTGGATTGATGTATCATACACCTATGTTTTACATCGTTACTATTTTGATAAAACATCACAAACCTTTTAGGTGATAAGGATTCCCAAGTTCCAGAAGCGGCCAAAAGAAAATGAAGTAAAAATAAAAAACTCGGTTATCGTCAGTCGACGAGACTTCTTCTTTAAAATAAAACAACTGCGAACTCATTCTGGCATAGCATACGAAAGCAAAGTCAGCAATATTTAAGGCAGTTTTCGACTCTTCAATTTGGAAAATCGACAAATGGCGTTCATTTTTGAAATCAGTGTATTGAAGTACCCTTGAATACAAATTTTTACAAAAATCGGTGAGGGGCAGTTGGCGAAGCTCGCCTGCAAGTGAAAAAAATGTTTTTTCTACCAGATAATACATTTTGAAGACAAATAGGGTTTGCAGTGATACATCATCTAGCTGATCTTAATACATACCTAAACAAAATATAACAACTGACAATAAAATGACTGTCACAGAAATAATTCCAATAACACGAGCCCATCGACTTGTTTCTGGATATTCAAATAATAACCAAACGTTTCGTTGAATTTTCGACCTTGGTAAAATTTTTTCTTTTTCTTTCTTAAATCCTTCGTCTTTTCGAAACTTATTAAACGTATCTTCACCTAATTCAAAAAAAATGATTTCTTCCGTGAATACGTCTAAATTATAACAATAAACGAAACTGTTCATGATTATCAATAATTAATCTCATTTTAAGTCTCTTACCTATTGGAACCTGAGTCGGTCTCCTTAGACCACCATTTGACTGATAATAATATAGAATAGCATCGAAACTTGGACGATTACGATCAAAAAAATATTCGTTCCTTAACGGATCAAAATATTTTAGTCTTCGTTCGGGATTTCCCAATAAAGTTTTAGGAAAATTATTTAATGTTTGTAGTGTTGTTTCGAATTTTAAACCGGACACATTTATAAAAACACGTTCAGAGGATTCAAAATCAGAATGTTTAGCTGCATTTGCAACTTTTTCAGATATTAATGTTTCCTCTTCGGGTTGACGAGAAACTGCCCTAAAATATAACGATATATAAAATAGCAACTTGCGTTTTGGAAGAAAGAGAGTAATAATCTTTAAAAACTAATTTTATGTATTTTTTTACAGATTTATTAAAACTGATTTTATTTCAGTTTTTTTAAAAATTGATGTTTTTTTTCGTACGATATGTATGATCGAATGCTGCTAGTTTTCCTAACAAATAGAAAATGATTCTGTGATCAATCTGATGCACATGTTGAAATTGTTTGCAAGAATGTTATTATGCGATTGAGTTACAGCTGCATGATAAATATTTGATTGATTTTACTTACATATGCATGTAAAACCAATATTTAAGCTTAAAGCATCTTCAGTATAGACGATGCAACAGAGTGTACACTTAATCCAATAACATTCAACTGACGATTCAACCTATACACACGAGAAATATTTGAAATCGACAAACAGCTTATGTAAATAATGGAATATATATAATGTATGCAAAATTTTTTTTTTTTGTTGACACTGCACTATTCATTTTACTTTAGACGATTTCACATTAATATATACATCAAACCATAGATTGCTGCTGCAAACAAAGGGCATTACTTAATAATTTCGTAAATAAAGAATGAATAAACAACATTCGTTTTTACATCTCAGTTATTCCATTATGTCAGTCTAACATTTTAGACGAATATTATTCTTAACAACAATGATTATTATTAACAACAAGAAACGAAGGACAATCGAACGAAGAGAAAGAAATTAATGTATCTATTGACGAGACAATTCAAGGTAATACATCTCTTCTTCACCGAAACATGGTGTGTGATACGTAGTCGATGATGCTGATTACGAATATGGTATTCATTCGCACCATTGAGGTTTTCCTGTATTTTGTTTCTATTTTTTGTCTCATTCTACACCGAAAGGTATCTGGGTATACTTACTTACAGCCTTCAAATTTTTCGAAAAAACTAAAAGTCATTTTTCAAAGCAAACTATTATACCATTTTACTCAGAATTCGACGCTGATTTCAACCATATAGTTTTTATTCGAAAATATTTTGGAATGAAAAATCGACTTACCACCACTGGTCCTTTATTAACTAAAGTAATTATGATATACTCCGAAAGTATAAAGTAACAATATAAAATAAAATTCTAAAGTTTAGAAATTGTTATGATAGATCTGTTAAATTTTAATTGATAATGACATATATTTTACTGCTTGCTTTGCCATTAAACTTTACTAGTAGTAAAAAATAGTTCCACTATAGTGAAATGGAATATGATAGTAGCTGAAAAGAAAAATTCGATTTTTACAGCTTTCAAAAAATGAGAATAAAAATCAATTAATTTGTTGCTTACATTGCTAGATTTTGATAATCACTCACTTTTCCAGTTGATCGATATGGTTTTATTTGTTCTAGATAATATTACTTCTCTAGAACAAAAATTCTTTTCAATTCTAAATATGATTTCCTAGGATCACTGGCAAAATGTTTTACTGTTTTCATCTTATCGAATTACACAGCACATTAAACTATTTCTACTGTGTAGATTGTAAAAATCTTAGTGCACAAGTTAATTAGCACTATTTCACCTCTATCATGTTACGCACTGGTTTAACATAATTATAAAAATATAATGTGTAAGATAATTAATGTTTTTTAAGGTCAGCTTCGTGTCGCAGATGACCTGTCATTACCTAACTCAGCCCAAATCAATTAAAAGAAATGGCAGTTTCATTCATATTTACATTGATTGTAACTACATTAAAAAAAACAAAGAAATATCAAGGTAAAATTGTGACAATTGGAAGAAAAACGTGTTGCTTCTGATTTCAAACTTAAACAATCCTTTGAACAAAAGAATTCAAGTACATGAAAAGAGTAAGTATGAAAAACACTCATAGCAGAACATTGGAACATGTGCCACGAAAGTTGTGAGGCTGACAGAAAAAGTTATTTGCGCAGCCTTGATGGGTTAAAGAATGGATGTCTTCACAAAAACATCGCTACACTTTGCTTAAGAGTTTAAGGGCCTCTACCCCCCTCAGAAATAGTGATTTTCGATCAAAAATTCGCTTTTGAGATACACATACGAAAAGATAGCCTGAAGTGTCTACTTCCAGAATCTATATTGCTTTTGGTTATAAAAGTGGTTTTTCCGGGATTTTGAGCAAGTTTTCTAAGAGCCTTGAAAAAACCGGTCTTCAAATACTGATTTTTTCCTGGATACTTATGCAATTAAAATTTTTCTGAAAACACAGCTTTGTAGAGCAAACGTTTCTGATCAAAATAAGACTTCGCACAACTCTGTATGGTCTTGCGTCAAAAAGTTACAGGCATTTCCCTAGAAGTCCTAAAA